TCCACCTCTTCCTTGGAGTTGCATACATACTCTGATGCTGATCATAATAGTGATCTCACAGATCATAAATTTGTTACCGGATTTTGCATCTTTTTAGATAATTCTCTTATTTCTTGGAAGAGTAAGAAATAATCTATTATTTCTCAATCATCCATCAAAGTAGAATATTGTGCCATGACATCTACTACTAAAGAGATTGTTTGGTTACATTGGTTACTTGCTGATATTGGAGTTGGTTACGTTAGTTATTTGCTGATGTGGGAGTTTTCTTTTCTCATCCTAGTTCTATATATTGTGACAACAGAGGTCTATTCAGATTGCTCACAACTTAGTCTTTCATGAGCGAACTAAGCACATTGAGATCGATTGTCTTCTTACTCGTCATCATCTCAAACATGGCACCATTGCTTTGCCTTTTTCCTTCTTCCTTACAGATTGCAGATTTCTTTACCAAGGCGCATTCCATCTCTCATTTTTGTTTTCTAGTTAGTAAACTCTCGATGCTTGTAGTTACTGCATCGTGAGTTTGAGGGGAGATGTTAAATAATATTTATGTAGTATTATTTATTAAGGATAGAATAATACTTTCAGCTTAACCTATATATACCTTATTTGTAATTAGGTTAAGGTTAAACATTCATAATATATAGATTATTTAGAATTCTAGCCCTCCTTTTGTGTTTGATTTTAATTATTTCAACATATAAAACCCGCTGCAACTCTAATTTGATGTAATCATATCCTAGGATGAAGCTTAGCTTCATCTCATCCAAAGTCCTATCTATACTGGACACACACACAAACACAAAAAGAGAACGAGAGGGAAGAATTAATTAATTGTGTGTGCATATTAGTTTTAATACTTTACAGATATTAGTCTTAATACTTAATATGGTATTAAAGCCAAAAATCTCCCAATGTAAACCCTATCATGTTTTTATCTTCACATCAAAGCCAACATCTCATCCCTAACATTCCTCTTCTCTGAATCTAAAAAATCTTTAATTGATCTAAATATCACTATATAAATCAACAAAAAATTAACTTCATCCACCTTCCCATAGTAGTGTGCTCAATTTGAAGTATTGCTAATTGGCTACAACCTACTTGATTACATAAACGGTGATATTCCTGCCCTTCAACTGATCTTAGTTCCTCTACAAACCCAAATAAAACACATTAGGTCAGATAAGACAAACTCATTCTCAAGGTCATTCTAGCCTCTACATCGACAAAGATCACCCTCCTCGTAGCTAATGCAAAAACATCTCAACATACCTGGCAAAAACTTCATACCATTTATGTTAGACGATCTAGAACTAGAGTCATGTAGCTAAAATAGAAGCTTACATTCATTCAACTACAAAACAGAACAATCGCGAACTATCTGCATACTGTGAATGCTGGAAGATAAGATTGTCATTATTGATCAACCATTCTCAGATGATGATTTTACGCTCTACATCCTTCATGGATTAGGAGCCAACTTTAGGGAGATTATTGCTCCCATTCATGGATGAGAGAATTTCTTTACCTTTTAAGAATTACATGATCTTCTAATAGGTCATGAAACTTACATGCGTCGCCTACAACTTGCCACTCAGCAGCTAGTAGTCTCTACAAATTACATAAATTGCACAAAGTTTGAATTGAACAAATAATAGATAATTAGTTAGATACTAATTAAATATTGTTAATTGGTTAATATTTTGACGCATTGATCATTGTATTTTTTTAAAAAAGAAATTATTATTGATTATTAGATTGTGAATTCATTTTTAATTATCAAAGTTGAATTTTGAATTAATTGTTATATTATTAAGAAATGATGTCATCATTATTCTATACATATTTTCTAAGTAATGGATAATCATTATTAGATGTATCGAGATTCACCACAATAGTTATATAGAAAAGATTATTGTAAAGGGGTTGAAGATTTTATTAATTTTGTATTTCAAATCCAAAGAATATTAGTGGAGATGGAATTAGATGTTTATATGTGAAGTATAAAAACAAAAAGTTTCACCAATCATATATTATGATAATGCATCTTCTAAAAATAAAACTTGTGAGCCTTTAAGAAATTGGTTGAACAAAAAATTAGTAATTTGAGGGATAAAAAAGATATAAAATATGAACAACCCGAAAGGAAATAATTGGAAGAGATGATTTTATAGAGTTATTATCTCTGTGCGGACCTCTAAAATATTTGTCTCCCCCTTTACCCTACATCTGCAATCTCTTTTTAATGTTCTTGAACATTTATAATTAATTTTATCATTAAATTAATGTTAAAAAATATAAATATTTACTCAATATATAATAAATGTGTTATTTAAGTTGAATTTTTGGTATGATATTTTTTAATGTTGTTTAATATCAAATTATTTTGTGATAGTATTAAAAAAATTATTAATATCAAATTATTTTTTAATAACATTAAAAACAATATTCATTCCATAGATAAAATTATCAACAAAAATAAAAACATCATTAGTTAAGTACATTAATTTTCATAGGAGGATCATATAAAGTTGTTAAGTGTTTTGGTTTATACCAAGATAATCATCCATAAATATTTGTTATTTGTTGTCAATAATTCAACTGATTATCTTTAAAAATATAAGATTTATTAACAATACATCGGTAATATCTATGGATAGATAAACCAACAAAAATTAGTCATTACATGGTCTTTTTCACTGATAATAACGTTTCGCTAGTAATTTGAAAATATCAATAAAAAATTAATCACCAACATAACACCACCACACAAAATAGTTCGGTTGATAAATTCATGAGATTTAATTGTAACCATGGATTGAATGCTTATTTCGCGACTTAAATATACGTTGGTATAATTCATTTTTCTATTGATGTTGCATGCCATCGACTTTTAGTGGTAATTGCACGATTATAAATCATTTAGATGGTTATACGTACCGCATTTTCCACAGAAATAAAAACCAGCTATCAGCTTGAATCGAATTATTGCATGCACAATCATCACCACTAACCACAAGTATCAAACTGATAGCTAATCTTGTTTGCAACTGCATGCTGTCTGGACAGATAATTAAACATTGCCGTGTGTGTGTGTGTGTGTGTGTGTGTGTGTGTCTGCACGACAATATTACACACACACTCGACAATATTTAATCTGTTCAGACAGAATCTTGTTTGCAACAGTACGCTGTATGCACAGATTAACATACAGGATGCTGTATATATATACACAGTGCAATACTTATAAATTAATTATGTGCGCACCGACCTTACTTTATTAATGACTTTAATATGGTTTGGTGCTGTAGTAATTTTTTGTGTTTTTATACAATGATAGAAAAAAACTTATTTGTTTTGTTAAATAATTTCTGTTTTTTTTGCACTGAATCTCACATATAATTATATTTTAAACCATAGTTTTGTAGAAGTTATAACAAAATACTTTTTATTCTTCGGGGCATGCTTTTTATTTGTTTAATTTGCTCTTAAAAATCTATTTCATGATAATTTTAATTAAACATGTATTTTTTTTAAAGTGTAATTAAAAATATTTTTTAAAACTGCACAGAATCTTCGACAATTCTAAAGAAACTTCATTTTCAAAATGAAAACTTTGAGTGTCTTACGGTGTGTACGTCCCAGTACTCTATTTTCAGCCAGAAATACAAAAAAGCATGTTATAGAAAATTTTACAAGTAATTATCGCAGCCCCAACAAATTAATTAATTAACGAAATTTCAAAATGGGGAAAAGTGAAAAATATTGTCCGGGAGATGTCATTTCAACCAAGAAAACAAAGATAATTTTTTAGAGCCTATGGGATTTGTGTAAAATTCAAAGATAAAAATTTAAGTTTTAGATTAGGAATGAAATTAATTAATTTAATCTGAATTTAAACTTGAAATCGAATCAAAATAAATAAATAACATTATATATATAACCTAAATATAATAATTTAGTAGTTGGTATGTGTGTCTATATATATATATAATAATAATAATAATTTAGTACATAGTACTTAGCATGGATTGGATCCGGATTATTGAATATCCAAAACTGAATCGAGTCGGATTTGAATGTTAAAAATACATACTTGATCAAGTTGGAGTAGAGATTTTAGATTTAAATTCAAATACAGATGTTACTCTATCCAATCCATAGGCATTCATTGACATCTCTACAAGATAAGGGAGAGTTCATTGATTAACTCTTGGGTGTTTGCACATTGGCTTGAAATGTATAATTTCCCATAAAAAAAAGATTATACAGATAGCAACTATCGTAACTAATATTTTCGTATATCTAATTAAGAGAGGATTAATTATTGTGGCAAGTTCTTAAGAAAAGTGCAGTTTCTTAATGTTTCGAACGACTAGAGTATCAAGGTTGGCAAAAAGATCTTGAAGAGCCGCATTAATTGTAGAACCTTGGGAAAATGATGGTGGGCAATCAGAAATTAAAAAAATAAGTCATGATCAGGGACCATGACGAAGGACTGTGATGGGGCAGAAAGAATTCACCCTTTGATAGATAATCCTAAAAAAAATAAGGGGGAAAAAAAGAAAGTTGAATTTTGAAATAACATACAACCAATTAGAGTGACCATGTCAGCGGACTTTAAAATATATATATATATATATATATATATATAATAAACGTGTTTGAAGGTTTATGCACGTAAACCTAGTGAGTCAAATAATTCAAACCTTTTTACTTCCTTTTTTTTTTTTTTTTTTGCTGTGTCTTGCCCGATCAAATTCCTGGTATTTTCTCCTGATCGGTCCAATTTTAGAATTCTCTACCTTGAAATCAAACTAGCTAGCAATAAAATTCAGTCTTTCTATCAATTTCACTTTGTAATCTATAAATACTAACGCGTCGAACCCAGTTGAAGGACTTATTATAAGAATCACGAATAATACGACCAAGTTCTTTACATTGTTGTCCACAGATTTTTGTTATTATTGTTTGCCCATCTTCTTCATCAAGCCATGCAGCAGCGCTCAGCATCGACAGCCAAGAACTTGGTTCGTAAAATCTTTAACCACCACAACCAAATCCAATCCCTCAAACGACCACCCTGTGACGTCTTCATTAATCATCGTTGCATCGATACCAAGAGGACCATTTCCGGGTTGCTCTTCGATCATCTTTCTAGACTCAGGCTCCATCCATTTTTGGATAGCAAGAACATGAGACCTGGTGACAAATTATTTGACAGCATTGATCGAGCTATCCATGAATGTAAAGTTGGGATTGCTGTGTTTTCGCCGCGTTATTGCGAGTCATACTTTTGCCTCCATGAATTGGCTTTGTTAATGGAGACAAAGAAAAGAGTTATACCTATATTTTGTGATGTCAAGCCATCTCAGCTTCATGTTAAGGATAACGGGCGTTGTCCTCCCAAAGAGCTGCAAAGGTTTGCCTATGCTCTTGAAGAGGCAAAGTACACCGTTGGACTTACATTTGACACCCTCGAAGGGTATGTGTACCATTTTTAATTACTTTGGAGCACAAAATGTTGAACAAAAAATACTAACTACGTCTACTGGTATTCTTATCTATTATTTCACTCTACTATAGTGTTTTAATGTCTGACTAATTTATATATGGTTAAATGTTTCTAAACTTGATTTTTTTTTTTATGCAGGGATTGGTCTAAATTCTTGACAACCGCTGCGGAGGCCGTCGTACATAATTTGATCGAGGTGGATGGAGAAGAAACACACAAGGAGCGTAAATATTTTATGAAGAATTATTTCTGAGAAATCAAGATGAAGCACACATAAATGCATCCAAAACCACATGCATCGTGACTTGATTAAATAAGCATGAAATTTTTTCATTTGTTAATTTTTGTAACGATCAATTGTTCATTCGGAGATTTTTTTGTTGTTTGTACTTGTACAATAGAAAAAACAAAATACAAAGAGACCAGAGACTATAGAGCTAGCAAGGTAAAAATCTAACAATTTTGATATGTTCATGTTCAAATAAACGTTTTTTTTTTGGTATGTGTGTGTTTGGATTCCATTTCTTTGGTTCATATGAATGCAATCTCTCTCCCCCTAGAACAACGAAATTGGCGATGTTTTGCTGCGAAAATACCTCAGCAATATGTCTACATTAATATAACAAGTTAGAGCGTGTTTGGTTGTGTCTTATGACGGAAAGCAGACTAAAAGAAAGATGGTGAACGATGCTGCCTGCGTGCACTGAAGCCAAAAAACCTAAATTAATAAATAATCTTTCGACACATAAGAGAGGAGAGAGATAGACACCCTTAATAAATTTCCAGGAAGCTTTTGTGAAGGTGGCGGGTGGTGAGGTTCAAGAAAGCCATAAAATTTTTAGGCAGTGTTTATTTAATAGGTTGTATTTATATTTTTATTTAAAATATAAATGTAACCTGTTTGATAAAAGAAAAAATATAATTTATTAGTTATGAGTTTTATAGTATTTTTGTGTTTGAAATACAAAAAAAAAAAAAATAATTACTAATTTTTATATATTGCTCATGCTACTTGTACAGTTCAGTAAACAGTACAATTAGTATGAATAGTGGAGCTGGCTACACTGTTCACTGAACCGTATAGCCAGCTTCACTATTTTAGTCAGACCAATCTTGCTAGACCGGGTCTGGTCCAAATCTCAACATGCATTGAACAGGGTACAACTTAGTAAAATAAAAAATAAAAATTATTTTTTATTTTTTAATTGTGTTTTAATAAAAAAAACTAGTGTTTAGTATTATTAAATGACACTACATAAATTAGATATAGATTCTTGATAACGTAACATTTGCAGAATTTGATCGCAATTCCAATTTTGTTCCTGATTATATTTTACCTAATTTTGTTGCTTGCTTAAGAAATAAAAAAAAAACTGTAGTCCTTGTTGGATGTATTTCATACATGATAGAATTGTAGATAATTTAATGAAACAATGAAAAATATTTTATATAAAGTATTATTTTTTTCATGATCTAATAACAATAGTTAAATATATAATATTTAAATTAAAAACTATCGATGTTAATATATATTTTTAAAATTATTTTATAATCTTAATTTCAAAAGCATTATTAACTAAACACATTAAACTATTTTTTGTTCAATTTTAATTTCAACCACAGTTTTAACCAAATATACATAAATATCAAATCAACCTCAACCAAAAATATTTTTTATAAAATAATTTTTTTCAAATAACAATTATAACAACTATCATAATACTAAACATACTATTACTGGGCTTTTCTAAAAACCCAAAATATGTACAAGTAAAATATTAATTGATATGAAATTAGATGAATTTTATATATATATATATATATATATATATATATATATAATTCAACTATAATAATATAGCTACGAGGGATTAATATAATAATTATTTTATAGAAAAACAAATCCTATGTTGAATCAACCCAAAATTTAAACAATCAACAACTAAATAGTATCTCAAGAAATATTTTAATTTCTTGCATTTACTGAGCGTACTGGATGGGAGAGTAATATGTAATAAATGAAAGTGGAATTATTTTGGATAAATATTCATAAATCAATAAATTAAACATATGGTAAGAGCTGGACTACGAAGGAACAAAAGGCTCAATTAAAATCTTGGAGTCCATAACTGTGACCTCCAAATGAAACGGTCATGCACTTCTCCTTTGAATTGAAGAGTTTGTAAAAATTATTATTATTATTTTTATTAATATATGGATATCCAGATACATTTCATTTAATTCTACATATCATAAAATAAACAATTATATAAATCTCTAATAATTTTAAAGTTTATAAATACTGATAATTTTTAAAATATAAATTTAAAATTTAACTAATTGAGTTATACCTCTCAGAATTAGTTTATAAAAATTGATTCATGTAAATTAAATCAATCATATTATGATGGATCCACTAGAGAGTTGCCAATAATTATTCTCCAAATAATTTCTGGTTTTTTTGTTAAATAAGAATGAGCTACCAAATCAAATCTCTATTTTCAAAAATTATTTAACAAATAAATAAAACAATTATGAACAGAAGCTATAAAAGGAATGCGTGTGTGTGTAGAAAGGGTAGCGTGTATGAAATGGAAAAATAATCAAAATTCAATGGAACGTGGATATCGCTTAAAATAGAGCCGAAATGGAATATACCTTGAATGTTTGAACTTGTCATCATCGATCTTCACGTTATTTAGCTAGGGTAGTTGTATTATTCTAGCAGACATAAGTTCCCGCACACAAACATCCTCCATGCATGACGACAATCAAGTTATCTTCCCCGTTCTTGACTATATATACATATAAATCGATCGATCCTACCAAAATCAAAATCTTGCTTAGATAATATATATCGGTGCATGCCTTGTATTGTTTTCGTTTTATAATATTCTCTCAAGTTGTCCAAAATTTACACACACACACACTCATCATTCTTGTTCTGGATTCTCATGTTGCTCTAACTTCTAAGCATTCAAGCTATATAAAACTAAAGATGACATCCAATTTCCAGGCAAAACAAAGAAATGAAATTATCGAGAAATTATAATGCATATGTTATGTGTTTTCACTATTACGTCCATACAATCTTGCCTGTCCATACCACTTAGTCATGCGAATATTTTATCTGGACAGTTTGTTATCAAAGTCAAATCTAAAATGATAATTCAATAACTAAATTTATTTGTTGCTACAGTTGTCATTCTCAAATAGAGTTTGACCCGGTGAAGATTCCAAGAACCAAGCTAATATTAAAAAAAAAAAACTGACAAAACAAAAAGCAATAATTTGTTTTTTAGATATCTATTATATTATATTATATTATATTATATTATATTATATTATATTATATTATACCAGGTTGATTAAATTACTAAAAATCTATTTAAATCATGGAGGTTTAGAGAAAGTTAATGAACTATTAATTTAATATCAAACAAATGAGGATTGAATTCCAAATTAACAAGTTGTTGAATCAACCTAGTGACTGAACCGAATTTGACAAGGGTGTCATAGTAGTAGTTAGAAGGATGCATAGGCATAGCCAAGAAGAAAAGAAAAACAAAATTGAACCGACAATTCACCGAAAAGCGTCGGCACGGTGGAGGCAAATGCCCACTAGAAATGGGACATAGTTTTGTGTGCTGTGAATTGACTTTCTTGTTTATGTTGATGTAGAGGGAGTTTCTTTCTTGACTGTGTGTTTTGGAGGGTTTTAAGGGCTGTAAATTGACTTGACATTGACTGGTACGATCATCGATTGGTGCTTGATTTGATGATTATCAACAGTCTGGGCTCTGTAGCATTGAGAGAACACGTGTTTTGGAAAATCACGTGTGTGGCAGCGGTGGAGACGAGACTTTCCATGAATGAGACAGCGGGTCTATCAGCCTCTTTATGCTAGAGGTTGGTGACGATTTCTGGCGTCTATCTTCTCTCTTTTCATAACCACCATCTGTAACTCTGTTTTATTAGGCCCTCTTCTTGCATTTCTGTCCTTCGTTGCAGCCACACGCATGAGTTAAATGTTATCTAATTTGAAATTTCACGACCTTTCAAGTTCACTTTCACGTACGGCTATTTTAACTTCTAGAAGATTAACTTTAAAGCGTAATTATTTATACATGGAGTTCGGTGTAAGAATGCAAAAGGTATTTATCTAACGTTCTTTAAAAGCTTTGTAAATATGATGTTGCGGCTATTTGTAGAACTTTTTCTCTCCACAAAAAAATTAGAAACATTAAAAGGTGTGGAATTCTTATTTAAGACTTACATATCATGTATGGTTTTAAACATATTTTTATAAAACATTAATCAGAATATATGTATATATATGTACATATGCAATCATGCATGAAAAAATTTCTTATAAACTAATGTAATTAGAAACGTACTTGTGAGTTCAAGTATAAGATTATCACCACCATTACTATTATTTTATTATCTTTGCTATTATAAAAAAGTATTAAAGGTAATTATAAAATAGATTTTGAACTAGTTAAAATAGATGAGACTTTTTTCATTTTAGGATTTTATAACCTTTATAACTTGTAGAGTGTAAAAAGAAAAAGGAACAAATTATTTTAATAATATATCAGAAACAAACTTGGCTATTTGTTACCTAATTGATAGATCATTGATGTTTTGCCTTATCAATATATGGTGGAGATCTTTTAATCATTTCATAACCATTTCTTTGATATCTTATTTCTTTATTTTAATTTGTGTTACTAAATAGATAATTTAAGAATTCTATTTTTACATTATAAAAAATATATGTTTTTTTAATAAAAATAAATTATTTATAATTCAAGGATAAAATAATTAAATTGTTTAAAGATAGGGACCATCAAGTTACTCAACTAAGTTTTTCCTTGGAGTGGGTTCATTTATCAAACTTAGATGTATCCTTACTTAAGCAATCGAACAAGGTTCTGAAAGTGAAACTACAGACTACCAAGGCAAACACATGAAATATGCTTTATTAAGGGCATTGAGGGACTTGCTTGATGAATTCCTCAAGGTATATAAGCGGGTTCTGACCTTAAATTTTTCCTTTAAGGATAAGGTGTTTACATTCATATGCAACCTTTATTTCTTTAATCTATCGAGGGGGTTTGATCTTTCTGCTATATGTCTTAAATACTGCTCGTAGCCAGTACTTAGCATAAGAGAGTGGTGAAGATTTGAATGAGGAGTTTGATCCTGACAGAGCGTAGTAATCTTTAGCAATTATCCTCGATTTTGTGA